TACATTTTTCTTCTTGTCTTGTACAAGCATCCTCACATGTTTCCTCCCCATTGGTATTGGGAGTTCCAGGACACATTTGAAAGTATAGAGTCTTTGAAAAACATGGGTTAAAAGGACATTCTACTGAAATTGTTTTTAAGCAGATGTCAAGAAAATGCCAAAAGTGTCTTAAAAAAATGAAGTGGTGAGGATGTAAGCCTCTTCCATGATCACCACCATTGGTCTCAGTCTATTTTTGAATTTTAGGAACTGAAAATGTGTGAGAATTGAAAAATAGGAAGCAGAAGGGTTGATGTTACATACAGTCTTCTAGGCTGCATAACTATTTGGAACTCCGAAGAGTACCACTCTAGATGAAGATTGGATGCCCTTAGGTTCCTTCTGGCTCCAAGGTCCTCACCCTCCATTGCTCTTCCAATTCCAACTTCTTCCAACCCATCCCTACCCAGCCAGCTTGGGTTAGAGGTGGAGAAAAGATGGAGAGAAGGTGGTAGAGAAGGGAAGAATAGATGAAGCAAGTGTGTATGGGGGATGAGGGTGGGCATGGGTATGTTAAAGAGAGTTTCTAGACCAGCACTGTCCAATGGAACTTTCTGCAATGGTGGGAATGTTCTACATCCGCATTTCCCAAAAGGGAAGCAGCTGGCCTTGTGGCTATGGAGCCCTTGAAGACAACAATCTACCTATATCCACAGTGCACAGCTCTGTGCCTGGGTAAAAGTGTGACAGAAGAAGTACATTTTCAATTTTATTGAATGTACATGTAAAGAGCTACGTGTGCCTGATAACTAACATATTGGAAAGCTCAGTTCTAAAGAAGATTGCATGTACTCCAAACCAAGGGGAGGCTGCACAAAATCAATAGAGACAGAGAGCTGCTGCTTCTCAGCCTTTCAAATTGCAAACTGTAGGCCCTCATTCCATAACAAATCATGTGGCCCACTTTTCAGAGATAGAGATGACAAGTGAAGAAATAGAAATACTATGTCAAAGAAGTTGAATGGATAGGACTTATTGCAGATTAAAAACCAGTCATGTGCCCTCATTGTGCATGTTCAAGGCTTTCTCAAGGTCCACACATCATTCTCACCAAGTTCAGAATCCAGGGAATTGGGAGGGGCAGTAACTGTGCTCTTGCTGCCTCAGGGTTACATCGCATCCAGGATCCTCTCCCGAAGAGCCTGCTACGTCATGAAGATGAACCATGATGCCATCCCTGCTCTGGACCAACTCAAACGGTTCATCTATGAGAGGAAGGTAATTCTGGGGTGGCCTTAAATATTCCATGTTCTTGAGCCAGGAAAAACTGGTGACTATGGAGAAATGAAGAGGGTAAGGGATCATAATTTTATATCTTATTACTATCCACTTATTAGAGTATTTTCACATTTATTGTTTTTGCTGCAGGAATATATCTCTTGGCTTGATTTCTACCATAGAGCTCCCAATACAAGAACTTATAGTAAATCCCATTGTTTCTGTAGAAAGGACTGCACAGCTTCTCTTTTCAGAGCAGGGATCTAAGAAAGACTGAAGGGCAAAGAAAAGGAGTGAAGTTATAATATTCAATGACACAACATGCAAAGAAACAATATAGCATAGTGAGAATTATAAAAAACATCATGAAGCTAGGCATCTGGGGTTTAATTCTCCCTCCCATTTGTGCCACCTTGGGCATAGGCATCACCCTCTCTGGGTTTCATTGTCATCACCAGCAAAATAATATTGGTAGTAATGAGGATTCTCTGAAGACCACGTGGTCAGGAAGAGAAGATGTCTTGAGATTCCTGACCACCTTCTACTTAATAACCTGAAAGAAAAAAAAGTCACAATTGAGAATGAGGTACACCAGATTATGTCAACGTACTTTTATCCGGTCCCACTCTGTTATACTGATCTAGGCTCTGAAGACCATGTCCTCCACTGATTATACCTGGGTCAAGTACAACCCGCTGGAGTCTTGGTTCACAGACATGAAATGGTTCTTTTTGGGGTCACCCATCGAGCAACTCTGCAAACACCTCCCCTTGTACAAGGCAGAAGTGGTTGAAAAGCCTCGTGAGTACAAATAAATCATTACTTCACCCAATATTTTCTGAAACCTCTAATGTGCCAACACTTTGCTAGGTGTTGTGTGAAATACAAATATAAAACATGACTCAATCTGATTTGCTTTGGGAATTAAATACTGACCACATGTGGACATTGTGCTACATGTTAGGAGAGGTACAGAAATGGATAAAACTCTGCCCCCAAGGAACATATAATCTGGCGGAGAAGTTGACCAGTTAACACAGAGAATGGAATAAAAAAAGATTCCTGGGTGTCAAGGAAAGCCTGAGGCCTGTGCCCTGACCAGGAATTGAACTGGTGACCTCTTAGTTCACGGGTCGCTGGGCTTTACTGGTATTTGTATACATAGTCTCTAAATACGGAAGAGAGGCCAGAGCCAAAGAGGCTGGGCCACAGATGTTGCACACAACAACACAAATTCCCCAGAGTTGTGGGAGGTAGATAAAGATGAAAAGAATTAGCATTCAATACATTTCTACTGCCCAGAAAAAAAAATTTAGGTAAGACATTTTTCTTTTAGTAAGGTCATTAGCATTTGTAAGTAAAGACACATAGCAGGGCATTAATGCAGAGCATCAATTGAACGGAGCCGGACATTTCTTCTAGGAATTGTCCGTCTATTTAAGCTAGGATATTATTATCCTTTGCAGTACATGTATAGCTAAAATCTTGGGTAACATGAAATTACGTGTACAACCCCCAGTCAAGACATTTACAAAAGGCTCTGATTTGCTGCATTCTAATAATGTATTTCTCAATCTTCTTTCTTCAAAAATGTTCCCCCTTTTCAGATGATGCCGGTGCTCATGGCTGCGTAAAGGCTGGCCTCCTGGGCATCCTTGGGATTTCCATCTGTGGAGGCATCGATGTTTAAGCCTCGGCCCACTGGTTGCATCTTTTCAATGAAATACGCCCTTCGGTTTCACCTCAGAAGACAAATTAAATTCTTTCCAAAAACCCCAACTAATTTTGAGATTCAGTAGTAAAACATAAATACAACATGTACAGCTATCAGAGTGTTTGATTTTTTTGTAAATAGCAAAGGGGTGTCAACTGATGTTTATGTCAATATATAGAAGGAGAGAAATTGCCAGGATTTCAAGTCAAGTACACAAAGTGTGAAAATTTCCAAATAATATGGCTGGGTCACATACAGGCTCATTGTGGGTGCAAGTCTCCATCTTTGCATCTGTTCACTGACCAGCTGCCCCTTTGTCTGTCCAACACCCTAAGGCAGCCTTGGGGGAAGCATGGGCTCAGGTGACACTGACCTCCACCTAGTGAAGGGGCATGGATTTGGGGTACCCTTAGCAAAAATTTGACTATTCAGATGAAGGAAACTATCCCCTCTGACAAAGCCTTAAACTTTGAGGGCCATTCACATGTCTTTTAGCTCATCAACACAGTAGACTCACCCTTAATAAACACTATCATGATATATTTTGTCCCAGGAGAGAGGGAGGTTGGAACACCCATCACCCAGGGAACTTTTGCTGAAAATCCCAGCAGAAGTAAGAACCGATCTGGGAATGCCAAGCCCCTATATAGAAGGGAAGCAATTTCCAATATGACAAAGAAATTGCATAATGTGGGCAAATTTCCAGATCAGGTAGCTCAGTGGTTCTCAACCTTCTGGCCCTTTAAATACAGTTCCTCATGTTGTGACCCAACCATAAAATTATTTTCGTTGCTACTTCATAACTGTAATGTTGCTACTGTTATGAATCGTAATGTAAATATCTGATATGCAGGATGGTCTTAGGCAACCCCTGTGAAAGGGTCGTTCGACCGTCAAAGAGGTCACGACCCACATTATAGCTAGTTCTCATGTTGACTGATCATCAATCGCTCCTATTCCTAACACTGTACTTCTTTATTTAAAATATATTTTTATTGATTTCAGAGAGGAAGGGAGAGGGAGAGAGATATAGAAACATCATTGATGAGAGAGAATCATTAATTGGCTTCCTTTTGCACCCCCCACACTGGGGATCGAACCCACAACCTGGGCATGTGCCCTGACTGGGAATCAAACCGTGACCTCCTGGTTCATAGGTTGACGCTCAACCACTGAGCCACACTGGCAGGGCTTAACACTGTTCTTCTTAATAACCCTTACTGAATACATTTAAAGCACTTACAGTGGCTCAGCATTGGGTTAGGCATGCTAGAGGAAGGGGCCCAAGACAAAACTGCCATAGACAATACAGTTATTTTCTTGTTGGGGAAGTGAGAAATGTATCTAAAACATTTGTAACAATAGTAAAAGAGTATACATTAAAGTGCAACATGAATGATAGAGTGTACTAGCTGGAATCTTAATGTTTGCAAGTGATGGGACCCAAATCTAATTCACAGAGGCTAGATGGAGTGGAATTCACTGTCCCAACTCAGTATAGGAGGATAGGGATATTCCGGTCTTGGGTGGCTGGAGTTGGGTACTTTAAGGTGGCCAGACTCGTTCCCTCCCCTCCCCATCTCAACATTCTTTTCCCTCCACATTAGCCTCAGAATCTTACATTCGCTTTCTCCAGGAGAGCAGATGCCAACAAGGTCCCCATCTTCCCAGCATCATTGTCAGAAAGAAAGAGACTCCTCTTGTTTGAATTTCAAATTTAAAATCGTCTGGAAGGGACCATAACAGAATAACTTGGGGGTAAATACTTATTCCTGTGGCCAGGATTGGTAGGGGTGGGGGGTGGGGAAAAAAGGGTGTTTTAATTGGTAACTTCCTTTGGAATCCAATACTCAGAGATGTATTATTCTCATTAGTGTTTATAATGATACTAAAGGCCTGGTGCACAGATTCATGCACTGGGGGGTCCCTTGGCCTAGCCTGTGCCCTCTTGCAATCCAGGGCCCCTTGGGGGATGTCGTACTGCCGATTTCAGCCCAGTCCCTGCAGACCAGGCTGAGGGACCCCACCGTACACAAATCTGTGCACCGGGCCTCTAGTGTGCATATAAGATCTTTGGTTAATCTCTTCCCGCCCTCCCCCTTTTCCCTTTCCCTCTGAGATTCATCAGTCTGTTCCATGTTTCCATGCCTATGCATTGAGCGTCTGACCCCTGTTGGTCAGTGCACGTCATAGCTACTGGTCGAACGGTTGCTTAGGCTTTTATATATATAGATTCCCATTCTTAAAACAAACTTGTGAGTTCTACTCTTTCATGACTGCTTTCTTTAAGTCAGTTAACCCTGCTCAGTCTTGGCCTGTCACATCTGATACCTCCACTCTGAATGTGTTTATGCACATATCTCCACCTTCCTCATCCTCAACAAGCTGCATGCGACCAAATCCATAGGTCCCAAGCATCTGGTCTGTCCAACCACACCCTAATTAAGCCCAGAGGTTTATCTTGGACCTTTCTCTGCAATTGCCTTTCCATTCATGGCTGTAAGCAGCCACACCACATCATACTTTACAGTGCTGGTGCTCAGCTCTGTCTCCTGCAAATTGGTGCTGAGATCACCCAGAGTTCTCCCACTCGCTGCACTCCTCCCCACTCCCTGGCCAATCCCATCCCAGTCCCACCCTATTTAAAGTGCTCCAAACTCCAACACAACCTCTGTGGCCATCTGCATCTGTATCTTCAATAGTCCTTCCTCTGTTTATTCTTGTGTCTAAGGTAAGGGGAGCCAGGGATGGTCTGTGTGGTGGGAGTGGAGCTGTCTCTGTCCCTCCCAGCCCCAGTAATAGACAGTTAAAGAACCAGTGCTAAAAAACCAGGCCCCTTATTCATTTGTAGCGGAGAGAAATGGCTAGGACTTACCATGACGGTATCTAAACCACTAGGAAGGTTCAGACCAGTTCCAAGGGGGAGGCCTTGGAGGTCTAATTTCACTTGGATCTCTCTTAGGGGTTTGCATGGTGCAGGCTGGGTTACCATGGTGAACAGGCTTTCATAGAAACTTAGCACCAATTTGCAACAATCAGACATATGGCCTCAGACATGACAGATCATCTATGCTGTGGCTAGTATCTTTTTGTTATTTATTTATCAAGATATTATTTCCTAGTAAGGGACACCCTAAGAGAGGCCTTTAGAGTTGAGACATTCTAGAAGAGGTCCCTCCTCCTTCACACCATACAGGCATGCAGTTTTGTGGAATGCATGTGGAGGAGGATGCCAGTAACTCGAGAGAGGACAGTGCAGGCAGGGAGGGCTAGACCATCATCTGCTAGACCAGTGAGGCAAGAAACTTTATTGTTCTGGCCCAGAAGGAGAAACTGCACCCAAAGTTATAGGTTACAAAGCTGGATTTTGGGTCAAAAGGTAGAAGGTAGAAACAAGGAGCTTTTTATTGGCAGATGGGAGTGCTGGGCCCCTACATGCTGGTTTCAGGCCAGTAGCCCCGTCTAGGTGGGTCCATTCTCCACATGACGGACCTGGAGGTTCAGAGCCCAGGGATCTCCCCACAGATGGAGATCCCCATAAAGTACAGAAGTTGGATTTCAAAACATGAATCGGGGTCCACTGATAGCCCGGTACCTTTAAGAAGAAAGAGGAGCATTTTACAAAATACTCAATCACTTTCAGACCCCAAAGTAGAGTGGATATCTTACATCCTGCACCTAAATCGATGTGATGCTCAGGAAAGCTCTACTAGCAAGAGACTAAAATAGGACTAAAATGGGAGCTCTCCCCTGTGCTGCAAAATGGGCCCCGCATCCCCCCTTTCTATTTCTACTGACCTGTAATCATACTCCCAATCCCCAGCCCCTCAAGTCATCCCTGTTTTCCTGCTGGATCTTCTTGTTATGAAAAAGCCTTGTTCACTGGGTTAATTTATACTAAGATGTAAGTGACTGGCACTAGCCTAATGGGAAAAGATTACTGACTGTATCTGGAGTAGCAGGTAGTTTTGAGATATTATCTGGTAGCTTTTCAAGCCAACCACCACTGATCCCCACCACATCCCCAGCAGGGGAGCCAGCCTCTGAGGTGCTCCTTCCCCAGTACAGTCTACAACTTCTAGGGTCCTGCATTCCAACCTCCGGGAAGCCCGAGAAAGAAGACTGAGAACCCCAAAGCGATGGACCTGTAATGGTGTGACACCAGCCACTGGGTGACTTGGGCAGGAGTTGATGAAGCTTTGGGTTGAGTGAGGGTATCTACCAACTGTCAAATGATGAAATGGCAGCCCTCAACCATCTGGGAAAGCTAAGTTCACTCTGCTTCCTGTTTTCAGTGAGCCCTGATGACAGCAGATCATCTCTGCCACCAGGGAAAATAATACCCCAGGCCACATTACTTTTCTACCCAGTAGCAAAGAAATAGAATAGACCCAAAAAATGTCATTAGAATTGCCCAATGACCTAAAAATTGTATTGCACCTTTTGTCTCACCAAAGGTCTTTGGTTTCTAGTTAAATTCCTAACGCACCTTCTTTTTGCTGCTGGGCAAAGTAGGTAGGGACCTCTCGGCACATGTCCTGGATAGCCATTCCGTACTGTGCCAAGTTCTTGACCCGGGTGGGTAAAACAGTGTAGGTCAGGCCACGCGTGGATGGATAATGCTCTAAACCCTGGAAGAGGTGGTATTTGAAAGTGGTGAGACAGTAAATGGAGATGGTACAGCAAGGAAGAAGAGACAAGGAACATATTTCAGCACACTTGGCTGATTCATTTTACAGAAATAGCTGTAAACCCAAACTTGTCCTTGTGCTTTGTCTTTAGCTGCAATATCTTCTCTGGCCACAAGGTGATGATATTACTCCAGAAAAATCTGTGAGTGAGCCTGTGCATCTTTCTTACTGGGTTTGTATTTCTTTACCCTTCCTAATTCCACAACTTTCCAGCCTCCATAGCTTTTCTCAGCAGCGATGATAATATAGAATAGTTTTAAAATTATGTGTCATTTGTATATTAAGTTT